AGGAGTCCAACATAAGCAAAGATGTATTCGAGCCACTTGGGTAGTTTGAAACTATGGTGTGTTAAGTTACGGTGATACGAGAGCATTATACCAAATAACTCACACAACACGTACCTTCCATATCCAACAAATAAAGCATTTCAAGTGAACGCAAATGGTGCAAAAAGTGCAAGTAAATGAATAGCAAAAACTATTATAACCATTTTAATATTGGCAGCCCTCCATTTACGTCCCCACAAGAGGTTTCTCTTCCTCGTAATCACAACATCAGAGAATGGTACTTTTTCATACTCAAATTCATTTACACCACTGAAAACAGCGACCATATTTTTCACTTTTGAATTGTGCATAAAAACGAGAACACGATTTGGGATTTGATGTATGTATGAAAGTATATGTAGTTATAAGGGATTCCAAAGGAATCATCCTAGGTTTGGCGATGGTCGTTGAAATGCATTAGTCCAGCGAACTAACAAAGTCTCATAGGGATTAGTGACATGTTTGGATTGTAGACACTACAATAAAGTTGGTTTTATAGAACGTCTAAAATGTCTAAGCGTCTTAATAGGATATACTTTATACATAGTATTAAGTTTATGAGAGTAAACTATAAAACTTTCTATCTAAAATCGTTACAATAGGTTTATAGGACGTTTTCAGGCGTTTTAACAGTTTTTTAGGATGCTTTTAAGATACATAGTCCTACTAGCTATTTATAGGACACTTTTGATAAATGTCATATAAACCCATTTTTTATAGAATGCTTTTAGACGTCTTAATAAGTTTTTAAAAGTTTTTAGACACTTTTGTGTATAGAATTTGAGGTTAAGCTTATACAAATGTGTATGCTACATAGACATAGAAACATACACATGTAGAAGGAGGATTAAAGAAGGCGGCAATTAAATCACCATAAATGTAAAAAGGGTAAATCAAATGTGATGTACATCATGTCCAGAAAGATGTAGATGACCGGTCAACACGGTCATTTTGGACGTATTGTAAATCACATGTGATTTACTGTAGAACCATGCATGTGCATCTGATTTGGCCTTTGTTCTTTATCGCACTTCTTATAAGTTGATTGTTTTCTCGTTTGAACCTATCCTATATATACATGTATATATATGAGAGGAATATCAAATAAAAACCCAACAATCCTTACAAACCTAGAAACCAGTTTTCATGTATTGTTTCATATATGTGAAACATGGAGTGTTGTTTTATATATGGAACTTTCATGAATGTTTTGCATGTGGAAAAAACATCAATACATGAACTTACACACACACGAACACATACAAAAACCAAACATGTGAAATAATATGAACTATAGCTTAAAATCAGTCTAATTGAATTATTTGGATTAAGATATATGTGTGTGTAGATACAGTGGCGTGTCCATGGATTTTTTTTTAGCAGGGGCACCTTTAAGGTGGATCAAAATCCCACAAAGTCATGTTTTTGATTGGAGAGAAAAATCGACACAAGGTTAACCAGATGGGAAGTCAAGTATGTGGATTTCACGAATAATAAAATTTTACATTATATTCTATAAATTATAGAGTAAATCACGTTTTTCGTCCTTGTGGTTTGTTAAAATTTACGAATTTCGTTCTTGTAGTTTTAAAATTTCAGTTATCATCTTTATGATTTGCAATTCATTTCTATATTCATCCATGAGGTCAAAACATACCTTTCAGTAAGAAGGACTAAAATAGAATAACGAATTGTAAACCATAGGGTCAAAACATAACTTTCACATTGAATATATTTAGTTATCAGCTAGTTTTTACCAAACATGATTTATTATTCATCAACAAGTTTGTCAAACATAACCTCAAAAATATCGTCCATCGTATTAATAACTCAGATAATTTTAACAGAAATCCACTAATTTAATATTGTTATGTTCACTACACATGAATGTAAATCAATGTCTATTTAATCCTTATAAAAAATCAAAATTCAAACAACAACAAAATTAAAATTAAAATTAAAATTAAAATTAAAATTAAAATTAAAATTAAAATTAAAATTAAAATTAAAATCAAAATCAAAATCAAAATACGTCTCCCTTATCCTAAAAATGAAGACTTCCTAATCGTTATAGGTTAGCACTCCCTACTCTAATTTGGTGCGCATTATAATCAAAACCAAACTATACACTCAACTAAAACATTTTTCAAAGCTTAAATAATTTTGAAAATACGCTTCTTAAAGTCAAAATTTAACGAATGTTGTGTTCTTGGACACGTGTTTGATGCACAATTGACAATAGGGTTGGTGAATTTTAGCCAACAATTTTTTTTCAAAAAATAATATTTAAATTTTAATATTTTTATTACTATAAATAATATAAAATACAATTATTATCGACAAATAATTATCAATATATACATATTAATTACTGATAAAAATACATTTATTGTTTTAAATATTTAATTAATTATTACGAGAAAATATGTTTTAACTTAACTTGATTAAGTACTCGTTAAAAAATTGTCATTATTACGAGACGGGAATTAATATTTGTAATTTAGAAACAAAAGGGTTTTAGAACTATTAAGAGACATATTTTTTTATAAAAAATAAAAAACAGTATAATTTGTGAAACATAAAGGCTAAATTTCAAGTTTAATGCTCCTTATACATTTATATTTTCACTCATAAAGCAATTGTTATTAAAAACTGCATACTTCTGTATTTCACAAAAATAATGCTTTATTTGTAAAAATTGTTCAATGATTGGCTGGGAAAAGAAAGATACAAAAACAAGTTAAAGAGAAACTGTAATAAAATTAGATTTATAAGACACTTAGATTATTTAAGCATCTTAATAGAATACTTTATAAAATTTGAATTTATAGGATCAGACTATAAAACATCATATCTAAAAAGCGTTATAATACGTTTATATGATGTTTTTACAAGTTTTTGAGAAATGTTCTATAAACTCATCTTTTTATAGGACACTTGTGTTTGTAGGATATTTTTTCAAACAATGTTTTATAAAATAGTTAATATGACACTTTATTTTAAAAGCGTCTTAAAAACATGTTAAAACGTCCTATAAACCTATTGTAACACTTTTAGGTAAGACGTTTTTTGGCATGTTCCTATAAACTTAAGTCATATAAAGTATTTTTAGGATGCTTTTACACATTTTAGTGCCCTATAAAATCGTGTTTTATGAGAATAGTATGCGTGGGAATGAAGGAGAGGGAGAAAAAGTTTGGCAAAATAAATAAAACGATCGGAAGATATATTATCTTTCTCATTTTCATGGTTTAATTAAGAAGACCGAGTCGAGGCATTTTTTTGAAGTATATAATATTTATATATGACAAATAAAACAAATAAACTCACATACCCTCTTCACCTTTGATAAGGTTTGAATCATTGACTTCCTAAAGGCCAATGACTCACATACCGCTAGGCCAAAAGCCTTTTGGTTTTTTTCATTTGAGAATAAAAATACGATTATATTTCCATAATCACGTTGTTTTTGTTCAGTTTTATTAAGATTTAAGGTTGGTGATGGTATTATGATGAATTTGTGACCAAAGTTAAGAGAAGGAAGAGAATATTACTAACTACAACTTTATTGATAATATATGATATAATTTTATTAAATATATATTAAATAAAATAATATAATTAGTAATATTATGAAAATTAAAATACATGATGGATATATATTCGTGTTATCTAAGTGAAAATTTGTTAAAAAGCAGTGTATTTGTTTATCTGATGTCAATTTTTGATTTGTAATCCCTGAAAATAAAAAATGGACCAAAACAAATATAAAGGATCAAAACAAGAGTAAAAATGGAGTTGTTCACTAGCGGAAAGAGTGGTCAAATGGGTCTGGCCTGGTCTGACCCAGTCGGGGACTGTTTCCCGGTTGGAGACCGTTGGTTACGGTTTTTGTCAAAAAATAAGGCTTGGCCTGGGACCGGTCTGATTTTTCCTAAAAAAAATGTATTTTTAAATGTACTTTTAACTTTTTAAGTTGTATTTGATTGAAAATCAATTATATTATAATAAAAAAACGTATTTTTTAAGTGTATTTAATTGTCTCATTTACCCTCTATTCACTATATAAAAGTCATATAAGGGGAAGATACCAACTCATAAGCGTTCACAATTCTCGTTAAAAAACATAATTTTAAAGTGTATTTTTAGTTGATGCAATTACATATTTTCAAGTGTAGTAGAATAACAATTTTGTATTCTTTAAAAAAAAACTTCAAAAAGAATTACGTAAAAAATCAAAAAGATTTTTTTAACATAAGAGCGGTTTGGGTCCGCCCCGGGACCGGTTCTCATAACCGGGCCTCGTATACATTAACTGGGCTTTCGTATTTGGGTCGGGATCAATTTAGGACCGGCCTGGGACCGATCTTTGGCCACCTCTAGGTGGGACGCTCCACTAGACTACTGTACCCTGTCGACCTGTTAGAAAAGTCAGCTTGGACTATCATCTATGTAGCTCATTATAACTAAAGGTCGTTGAAGGTTGATAGGAGTTGGGTATCCTAACTAGCAAGTTGCATACAAGGCATCACTAGTGGATAGGTCGGAGAAAACGTGGCTGATGATCGTGATTTCCGGTAGATTTACCATCATCCACGGATTTTCTGCCGGTAATCTACTGGGTGATGGTTAATCCGTGGTGATCCTCTAGAAAAAACTGTTTGTAATATCAGTTAGTGAACCCATTTGTTTTGTAGTGTTATTGTAGAAATTCTTTTATATTAACGATGATATCGTTTGAATATAAGAAGGAAAGCTATAAAAGATTATTTAATTTCTTGAAAAATGCTTAACCTTTTATGAGAGTGGTACCAGCAATCCAAATGCCCAAAAGACATCGTTGCGTGCATTTCAACAACCGTCTTCAAACCCGTGACCTTATGACATCCCCTATATATACATACACTTTCATACATACATCAAATCACAAATCCTACTCTCATTTGCTTTACAATTCAAAAATGAGAAATACGATCAATGTTTCCAATGGCGTAAATGAAACTCAGTATAAAAAAATACCATTATCTGATGTGATGGTTACGAAGAAAACAAACCTCTTTTGGGGACGTAAATGGAAGACCCCTGATATCATAATGGGTATAGCAATTATTACTATTCATTTACTTGCAGTTTTTGCACCATTTACGTTCACTTGGGATGCTTTTTTTGTTGGCTATGGAAGAGTCATGTTGTGTGAGTTATTTGGTATAACTCTCTCGTATCATCGTAACCTAACACACCATAGTTTCAAACTACCCAAGTGGCTCGAATACATCTTTGCTTACATTGGAGTCCTAGCCTTCCAGGTTTGTTTTTTTGCCGCTCTTAATGCATCTAATAGATCTTCAGTTACTTCCATGCATATAAAAAATGTATTTGTAAACAGGGGGATCCAATATTTTGGGTGAGCACCCATAGATATCACCATCAATATGTTGACACCGAGAAAGATCCACACTCTCCCATCTTCGGATTTTGGTTCAGTCATATGGGATGGATGTTTGATAGTGGCTACATCATTGAAAAGGTAATTTGTATGTTTGTATCCCATAAAGAGAGTTCATTTTGGCTGATTATCTTGTCAGTGTTGTTGATTATATGTTTTGCAGTATCAAGAAGGTAAAAATGTAGAAGATTTAAAGAGTCAGAAATTCTATAGGTTCCTTAACAGAACTTATGCATTTCATGTATTATCATTTGTGGCCCTTGCTTATGCTGTCGGTGGATTTACCTACCTCGTTTGGGTTGTGGTAAGACTTTGCTTCAGCAATTTTTAGAGCAAATGAAAAAAGAGCAGTTATCGTACAAGGTTTCAATGTTAAATTAATACCTAACAATGAGTTTATTGTACTATGAGAGGATATGTAGGGTGTTTCCACTGTATACATTCACCATGCAACGTTTTTAGTGAACTCGGTTTGTCACATATGGGGAAATCAAACATGGGACACTGGAGATCTTTCCAAAAACAACTGGTTTGCACTTTTTTTTTGAAAATTGATTATATACAGAGGATCAGTCTATAATTTTCGATATTTACATTTTGTAACAATACATGTACAGGTGGATGGCGTTGATTACTTTTGGTGAAGGATGGCATAACAACCATCATGCATTTGAATATTCAGCTCGACAGGGGTTAGAATGGTGGCAAATCGACTTTGGTTGGTATACGATAAGGTTTCTTGAACGAGTAGGGTTAGCCACCAATGTTAAGTTGCCAACTGAAGCTCACAAACTCAAGAAATCGTTTGTTGCACATGAGTAAGTACTCCTTCCACTTCATGTATGCACATATCTTAAATGCATAATAGGTATGCCTGTGATCGAAATACGTATCTCTAAATAATGACTGCTTCTTAATTCACGAATAAATGATTATATAATGATTGATCACTTGACAATCTAATAATTTATTTGTAATTTTGAATTTGGAATGTATATCTATTGATGAATGTTTAAACCTATCTATTGGTTGGCTGATGTTGAAAGTATATGTACAATTACATGCTTAAAGTTGTTGAATGATGAGAGGATGACGTCATAAACTACTGTTATGAGAGTAATTATTTTAAAAATTAATTATTATTTTAATACTAAAATAATTAAATTTTGTTTAAATCAATGAGTAAAGTAAAATTGAAGGAAATGAAATAAAGAAAGATAATGCCTAGAGCAAGCAAGCATGGGGTGGATATAAAAATACTAAAATACCCTTTTTCCGAAACCGATATAATTAAAATAATAAAATAAAATAAATGTAAAAAGGGGTGGCAGAAGGTGGTGTTGGCCACTTTATGCCGGTATGGGGTGGGTGACATTAGCGGCTGCACACCAAAAGAATGTTAGGGTGGAGTGTAGCCGGACTGCACGCGCATACACCGGAATTAAACCCCCAATCAGGTTTTATTCTCTGCTCCAGCCCTCACCGTAACACTCCCTACTGCGACGGTGCTACCCGGTCCGGTTTATTCCCAACATTTTCTTCGATTTTGTCAATTGTATCACTCTAATACTTTTAATAATATTAAAATATTAAACACTTAATTAAATTTCAACTAATTAATTTATGGTAACCGTGAAATCTTAAATCAATAAATAAATTAGGAAATTTATAATTTTGGTAATTTTGAATTAAAATTTTAATACAAGAACATTTTGGCATTTTAAAAATCTCATCTCTCCTCCCTCCTCTCTTCTCTCTCCATCCCCCATCATCCGGCCTCCGGTCACCATCCTCCGGTGATACCACTATGGTATCACAATGCATCTTATATGTGTTTAGGTATTACACTGAGGTTGTTTGTGTAGACGATAAGAGATGTAACACAGTGGTATCATAATGCATCTTATATGTGTTTGAGTATCACATTGTGTCTTTTGTTTAACAAAGTCAATATTTTTAGATATCACAGTGGTATCATTGGAGGACGGTGGCCGGAGGTCGAAGGCTGGAGGATGGGGGACAGAGAGAGAAGATAGGAAAATTTTAAAATACATAAAATGTCCTTGCATTAAAATTTTAATTCAGAATTACCAAAATTATAAGCTTTCTAATTTATCTATTGAATTGCGGTTGAAATTGGATCTCACGTTTATCACAAACTAGTCAGTTCTCCCTTGAATGAGCTCCTATATATATGTGTGTGTATATATATATATATATATATATATTAAAAAATAGGGAAAAGTACAATAAAAACCAATGAACTTTCTTGTTTGGAATGATTAAGTCCTTGAATTTTTTTTTGGAACAAATAAGTCCTTGAACTTTCCAAAACATGTTAAATAAGTCATTGGACAATTTTTTGGCACAAATAAGTCCTTGGACATTCCAAAATATGTTAAATAAGTC